TCCCCAGGAGCTAAGAAGATCCGAGGCTGCCTTTCTTGCTCTGCCTCTTTTTTATTATTATTATTATTATTATTTTTGCCTGTGTGCTTAAGGACTCTCAGTAAAGTCTTTGGCCTGGATATTTTTTTTATTATTATTTTTTTCTCCATGTTTAAGTATCTGCTTTGAATGAGCTAATAAAGATGGATAAGAAATCATTTGAAACCGTGCTGGATGAAATTAGAAAGGTAACTTCTCGTTTTGCATGTTAGTTTAACCATTTGATGGTAGACTGTTCCTCTTGATGAACACACCAGGTTAGATGTTTGTGTTCTTTAATAGTCGCTTAAGGATTCAATAAAGACTGAATTTCCCCTCAGTGTGAAGAACTGCAATCCTGTGTTGCTGGTGCATTCTAGCTTTTGTGTGTTAGATATGCTGTGACATGCTTGCTTTCTTTGAGATATTTTTATTTTCTCAGAAAACTGAGATTGAATGTCCAGAGTGCTACCATTGAGCCAACAACGTGTGCTTGAAGAGCGCTCATTTGAAATAAGCATTTGAATAAGTTCATCACAGCATTTTCACCCTCAAGAAAGACAAGGAAGAAAAGCCAAAATAGTCAAGTATCTTATTTGAGGGGAGGGGCTGCATTTGCTTGGCCTGGCCTGAGACAGGGACTTACAGTGTGAGGTATCTACCTTTTATATGATGGTTTAGGAGATACAAGATACAAATATGACATCAGAGGGCTGATTTTTAAGCTGTACTCTGCTGTCCTCGTTCAAAGCCACATCTCCCACAGCTCAGGAGTGTCTGCACACCTTCCTCCAGGATGTGCAATCCTGAGTTTTGATGCATGCTCTGAACTGTGCTTGTGCATCTCCTGTTAAAAACTCACTGAGCAAAATATCTTCTAGTTGTGGGAAGCAGAGATATGAACCTAGGCTTCCTGGTGTTTGGCAGGTACTCTCGTTTCTTTCTGCACAGAGGCCTGCTTTTAACAGGAAAGGTAGGGGTTAGTGGTTGGGACAGTTCCCCAAATGCTGGAAGTGGCAAAGGAGAGAACAAAAATCAGAACCTCTGAGATGATTGATTCCTTTCTTGCATGGGAAGTACAGACCTGGGATGACATATTCTGCTGTAGTCAAGCAAAGGTGATTTAAGTGTCATAGTAGAACAGTTATGTATCCTGCTAAAGTTCTCTTGGTGTGGAAATGAAGGGCTTGTTTTGGATAAGATTGCCTTATGGCAGAAAAGGAATCCTTCACGTTCTTATAAGAGGTGTTTTTTGTTACAATGGGTTGTCTAGGAGAGGTCATTTCCTTTATTGGGACTTGGGTGCTACAGAGCTGAGTTTCTGTTCAGCTTCTCTTTGGTGTGAGATGCAGGGATGGCTGCAGTTGTATTATTATTTTGGAACATACTGCGGTATAAACCACTGTGCACAAAAGCCCCAGTGATGAGCCTTTGTTATCATAACTGCACTTACTAGCATTTTTGCATAAGGTCGTGGTCATAAATTCTGCTTTATAAAACAGGTATGTTCCATAATGTGTAACCAGCTAACAGTGCGACAGCCTAAGATATTTCAGGGTGTGGACTTCCCTCCCAACCTAAGAATTTTTATGGAAAATCTGGGGGAAAAAATCAAGGAACAACTTGCACATGAATACTTTCTCTGAGAATTGATGGTGGGAGGGAGTAATGTTTCAAATATTACTACTGCAGTGCGGCCCTTCAGAATACGCTCTGTGATTACTAAAGACTTCAAACAAAAGAGGTTTTGACATGTGATGTTAGACAGTTATGTTTCCTATATGCTATCTGCCTGTATTCCTGTAAGCCTAACTTACTGTTGATCTAAGGATCAGTGTTGTGCTGTGTTAATAATAGCTGTGCTGTTCCGGTGTAATGTTCATTTTCCAAATGCTTATTTTGTCTCTTTGTTGCTAGGTCTTTGTTTAAACTTCATTTCTAGCTTTGTGGTGGAACCTTTTTTACATAATTCACAAGTCAGTTGTGTTGGTGTGTTCCATTTTCAGTCCTACAGTTAGCAGAAACAACTATTTAAATGTCTTAATGTGTAGCTTAGTTCTGTCATTCCCCATATATATTTATGATTATTAAGAAAATAAAATTTGTTTGTTTGTTTTTCATAAATATACATAGCAGTGCTTTCTGTTTGTGTTCTTGTTATGAAGTCATGCAGTTGTTGATTTAAGGAGGAAGAGTGAAATTTATTTTGGTAAAGAAGTTGCTATGTGATACATACCAGGCTTTTTTCCAAAATATGTGAAAAGAAGGAAGGGAGAGAAGAAAAAAATGAGCATGAAAAAGGAAGTTCTTTCTCCCCTGTGGCTTCAGCCTGTCTGGTAGTGTTGGTCTCTTAATGAGGTACTTCAAGGAAGGGTATTGCCTGGAACAGTATGGGAGTGGGTTTCCGTGCACCCGTCCTACTCACAGTCAGGTTGCAGTGAGGGAGAACTTCACATCTGTGTGTGTGGAGGGACAAGGACAAAAAAGGAAGGAATAGGGGTAGGTTTTAGGGCTATTGGGAAGAAGATAGAAATTGGTGTGTGGGTGAGGCTGGAGGTGATTTGAGAATAAGCACGAGAGCTAGCAGTAGATGGGGGCCTTGGAAACTGGGGAGGAAAGGTGTGTGCGCCAGTTCAGGGCAGGAATTCAGTTGTTACCTGTCTTCTTTACATCTTGTACCCGTATCAGTGAGCTGGGTATGAGGAGAGGGAGGAAGCCCTGGCTATTAGATAGCCCACGTGGTTATCAACAAAACGGCCTTGCCACTAAGTCAAAAGTGGTGGCCAGTACTGCGTTAAACTACTCTGTTTCCTTTGTTTTGTATGATTGCATATTAACATTTGACCTATGGAAAGGTCATGCTAAGACAACATCACCCTCTGGAGCAAGCTTTCTTGTATACTTAATTCTGTCTGTACAGACTTGTTATCCAGTCTTTTCATAAATTCACTGAAGTAAGATGCTTTGCTGATTATTTTACAGGGAAGATACAAAGAGATTGTATGAATAATCAGCTGTATTATCTTATTTAATGTAAAGTTATTGTAAACCTTAGAGGCAAAAGAAAGAGTGATCACGATGTTCTCTCAGTACAGTTTTAAACAACAAAAAAAATCCAAAATGAAATAAATCAAAGAATGAGTAATTTTTTTAACAAGAATTAAATTACACCTCTGCCTTCCATTGTTCTCTCAATTATCTAAAGAGTGTTCTGTTGCTTAGAAATATTGCAGTGTAATTGATGCAAATGTCACTTTGTAAGGTCATATTTTTTTAGGTGAATAGATTATTCTAGCAGATGATTGTTCTATAAGTATAATTTTTGAGGGACTAATTATGCGTCTTTTTTTTCCTATATCTTCTAGGCTGTATTGACTGAGTACAAATTAAAAGCTATTGAATATGTTCATGGATACTTTTCTAGTGAACAGGTAAAAGTCAACGCCATTATGGGTTTAAGGGGAGCTATTGGTTTTGTGTATTTAGTAATACAGAAAGACAGTGTCTCCAGCCATACTGAGGCTGATCTTATTAGCTTTTTTATTTACTAACTGAGGAGATTTAATTCCTCATTATTATATCAGCATTAATCTGTTCAAAGTAGTTCCAAGTTATTTTGTTCTGTGTGGGGAATTGGAGAAATTGATCATCATGGAATTTAGGATTATTGTGTATGTTTGGTGAATATGCTGTTTGAGGTACTGAAGGTTTATACGTTTTTTCAGAAAGACTTAATTTTTTTTATTCTAATACTGTGACAATTGTTGTGCATATATGCAAATTATATGAGGCGAGTAAGTATCTATTTTAAATATTTCCATAGAAAAACTGCATCTCTTAACATAGAATTTTTAGGTACCTTCTTAGAAATAAAAAGAACATTAGATGCTGGTAGGCACTGATATAATTAAGCATCACAGACAGACACGTGTTTTTTAGCAGTATACCACTGTACTCCAAAAACAGAAAGGTCATATTGATGCTGTTAGCATAACTTCTTAATATATATAAAAGATTAATTGAAGGCCTTTCTGTTGCAGGTTGTTGAGTTACTG